AAATGGCCGAATTCCAATTGCTGCTGCTGCCAGGTCTCATGAGGCAGCATTTGGTCATTTTCCAGGAAATAATTCATCAGGAATTCCTCCCCGGAGCTCTGTACTTACCACATTACCACATGTATATCCATTTGAAGAGAGGTACCTCACTGTATTTAGGTCTAAACAATGTCAATAATTTTAACGGACATCGTGAACTTAATAGAAATAATGTTTTGAACTTCTCTCTCTCTCTCTCTAAAAAAGAGATCCTAAACTTATGATTATGATATGAGTCAATTGTTCTTACCTACCCTACCTGCTTATCACGTGCTCCTTTTTGCAGCAGATTTTTTTTCTCAAACACATTTGCACTGAATCTGGTTATCACTAGGATCTTTGATCGTTGTTGCTTTTCTCACACATAGAAATCCACTAAAGAGATACTTGCACACCATGATGCACTTAGTGCCGATTTTTCTTGGTGGATCATACATGATATTTCACAAAGCTTACATGGTAATTCTGTCTGATGGTTGAGGAAAATTTGATACACTTGTACTCCTTTACAAATGGCCAAAAAGTCACCCTTTTTTTAGGAAGATGTTTAAATTGGCATACAAAATTCTACCTGTTTTCATTTTGAGATTTATTGAATGAAATGGTACACATACATTATCCGCTGGAGGAACTCATGTAGTGGCCATACTGTGCTTGTGTAGTTGTGTATACACTTAGCATATAGATTCTTTTTACAAGCTGCACACTTTTTTATTACTTAAGCATTTCTAGCAGTGTAAATTTTCTTAGCATCATTTTATGGCTTTTACCCAGAGTGCAGATGTTTAGAGAATTTATTGAGTCAGACAAAGCATCAAGAAGAGTTACTGGTGAAATTTCTGGGCCAGGCCCGGGATCTATTGAGATAGTTATTCGTCGAGGCCATATAATTGAAGATGGATACAGGCAGTTGAACTGCCTAAGATCAAAGTTGAAATCTTGCATTCACGTGTCATTTGTGAGTGAATGCGGTCTTCCTGAAGCTGGTTTGGACTATGGTGGTCTGTCAAAAGAGTTCCTAACAGATCTGTCAAAGACCGCTTTTAGTCCGGAGTAAGCATACTGTTTTTCTCAACTTTTATTTATCTTATGATTTACACAACTTGTTTTTCTCAAAAGTGAAGACTGAAGAGTACTGTCATTCATGAAGACGATTTTGCTAACCTTTTTCTTCTATTTCTGACAACACTCAATAGGTATGGGCTGTTTTCACAAACATCAGCATCTGATACTAGCTTAATTCCCAGCAATTCTGCTAAGCTTTTGGATAACGGCATTGATATGATTGAATTTCTTGGTCGAGTTGTCGGCAAAGCACTCTATGAGGGGATTCTGTTGGACTATTCTTTCTCACCAGTATTTGTGCAGAAACTTCTTGGACGGTATAATTTTCTGGATGAACTATCAACTCTTGATCCTGAGCTTTATAGAAACCTTATGCAACTAAAGGTACTATAGATTTTTGCTTTGGATTGGTTTCCAAGATGCAAGCAAGTTAAACTACTACTTAGAATATTACCTTTTCTATCGAAAAGATCATAAGATGGGTGGATGACTATTATTCAACCCCTTTGTTGTAGTATATTCCCCTGAGATATTATTCATGAATATGTGGTATGTCTTATTAATCTTTCAATGTATATTCTTAGTTTGTAGTGTTCACAGGTTAGTGGTGACACTAGGAGTCAATCTTATGCATTTATTTTTACATAATTTCTACAGAATCTTGCCATTTATTTAAGTATTGTTAAAATTGATTGTACTTTTGGGATTGATGAGGTTTCTCTCTGTAGTGGTTATATATGATATCAGTTTGTTGATCAGCTACCTCTGTAAAACTCCATATGGTACCATTTTTTTGGGTTTGCATACTAGCATTAACATAATAAGACAGTAACATTTTGATGCTATTACTGATCTGTAACAATAATCTGCACTACCTTTCTACCAAACAGCACTATGATGGGGATGTTGAGGATCTATTTTTGGATTTTACTGTAACTGAAGAGTTGGGTGGTAAAAGAATTGTCCATGAGCTTAGACCTGGTGGTAAAAATATATCTGTCACAAACGAAAACAAGTTGCACTATGTTCATGCAATGGCAGATTTCAAGCTTAACCGACAGGTTCGTTACACTCTGTTTTGTCTTGATTTACAAGGTTTTGTTCGGTACCAGTAAAGCTTTTTGTTAGCACCATTGTCCTTGCAGATACTTCCATTTGCAAATGCATTTTATAGAGGACTCAGCGATCTCATTTCACCGTATTGGCTGAGCCTGTTTAATGCAAATGAATTTAATCAGGTAACTCTCTTCTCCTTTTTTTTTTTTTTTTTTTCCTTGAGAGGATTCTCTTCTCTATTTTCTATACTATTGAAACTGGCATCACGCCAGGTATAATGCAGGAAATGAGCTTTGATCTAACAGTAATAACTAAAGTATAAAACTTTGAATGAATTCAAATATTTAAAATTAAGAAAAAATTCTAACTTAAAATTTTCTTGTTAAAAATTAAAAACGAAATTGTGATGTAAGTGATAGAAATGAAGAGAAATTGAAATTTGAATTGTGCTTGTGAATAATAATACCACATTGACCCCTCAGAAAATAATAATACCACATTGCTCTTCTTTTTATAAAGAAGAGAATCTGTAATAGCTGGCCAAATACCAAGCATTCCCTTAACAGATTAACCAATATTTGACTAGCTCAAGAAACGTTCTTATACAATGTATTAACTGGCGTAGTGCATTTAACATGTCAAAAGCTGAATCCGTGGCCCACTGTTTCAAATCCTGCTAATTCATCACTGCCACATACAGTTACTTTCAGGCGGCCTGCGGGATTTTGACGTTGATGATTTGCGGAACAACACCAAGTATACTGGTGGTTATACTGAGTCAAGTCGAACTGTTAAACTCTTCTGGGAGGTATATGTATTTGTATAATTTTGCTCATTTTGCATTAATGGTTTCTTGCAATTTCCTGTTTTGCATTAGGGATGCATGTAACTTGGTAAGATCCTAGGATTATCAGCTTGGTTACCTATGTTCATGCAATACATACCCAATTTAGAAATTTCTGGAGCAGTGCAGTTCATGTATTTTCTTGTCTGGTGATAATAACTTTGGAAAAGAGATCATTTGGTATCCTGTAATATAACTGTGAATTGTGATCCTGACATACTGGCAGCTGAAACTTGCCTTGTACATTCCTGTCATACCTGCACTGCATTTCTGGCCTATTTGCATGTGTAGCATGCATTTGCCCACTTCTTTTATATGCTATATAAATGATTTGGTCTGTTTGCCTCTCTGCATTTCAGCCAAATTTGATGAAATAACTATTTTTGTTTACCAACAACAAATATAAATATTAATATGGTTCGCACATTTTTACTCATTATGCAGGTCATCAAAGGATTTAAGCCAACAGAGCGTTGTTTGCTCCTAAAGTTTGTGACAAGCTGTTCACGAGCTCCATTGCTTGGATTCAAGTACTTGCAACCTTCTTTCACGATACATAAGGTTTGAGCACATTCCAAGAACTTTTCCTGTTTTGTTGATATGTGACAGATTGACTTAAGGAAGGTGACGAACTGCATTACTGATGTGCACCAACTTCTCAGCCCTTGTATAGTTCAGAACAAACTCTTCCACATGAAATACTCCTATCCCAAATTATACGACGTTTTGGCTTTTCTAGATACATTACTTTTACTATGTATCTAGACATACTGTATATCTATAAGTGCCTAGCAAAAGCTGTGTATCTAAAGAAGCCAAAACGTTTTATAATTTGAAATTGAGGGAGTACTATTTAAGATGATAAAGTGATGTAGATGTGGGCTCAAATGTTTCTTTCTTGATTTTTCTACAGTGATATCAACTTGAGACACATAATGTGCTCTAAATTTGTTTATGCAAGAATGATAATTAGCGAAGTTACTTGATGGTATTGCTGTTAGTTCTGTAACAAATTGAACTTCTGCAACGCGGTTTCGATCCATGTGTTATTTTGTTTTTCCCCCTCTCTGATTCATCAATCTTCTCATTCCCCTAGGTTCCATGTGATGTGACTCTTTGGGCATCAATTGGAGGCCAAGATGTAGATCGTCTTCCGTCTGCTTCCACATGTTACAATACGCTCAAGGTATATCACTGACCGGTGACATTCATACTGGCATGCACGCTCTCTTCTAACCTTTTCTAATCCTTTCTGTTACCTTCAGCTTCCTACATACAAGCGGTCAAGCACGCTAAGGAGCAAGCTGCTTTACGCCATTAGCTCAAATACTGGGTTTGAACTCTCATAGAGGTATATTTAGTGGTGGGGGTGTTGTGACCATGTCTTGGTTTTGCTGTGAATAGAGGTATAGCAAAATTCGATCGGATGTACAAGTGTCGCAATTGCATCTTGATTATTCGGAATAACAGCTTCTCTGAAGGTAACGCGACTTTCTATGCCAGTGCATAAAAAAATGCTTGTGCCATAGTCAGAGTCGTAGTGCCAGTGCCAGAGTCGTAGTAGTGCGCGTATTTCTTCTATGGTTTGTTCTTTTGCCGTTCAGCAGTTGCTAGTAGCTATGGTACACGGACACTGGGGGCTTGACTATCCAGTGGTTGTCGTGGTCCAGGCCTGCTGAGACGAGGAAGGTTGTACACCATACTCGGTGCTCGATGGTCGCTGCACTGCATAAAACAGTACTAGAAAATATGCCATGGGCTGTACGTCGATCACTCCAAATTCAAAATAGGTTGGGAAGGCGTGGAATGCAATTATACAGAGCGGAACTCTTACAGCAGTCCAACTTTTTCCAAGCATCACAAAACTACGGGAGATGATGGACAGACAGCAAACATACAGGCAAGCACACAGTAGCAGCACAGAACGGTACACAGCAGGACGAAGGGCGGGCGGGAACTCAAAGTCAAGTGTATTTGCTGGAGGCTGTTGCGTGGCTCACGCGATGAGCTGGAGGCCCTGCAGGAGGAGCGCGTCGGCGAGCACCTTGTTGGCGGCATCCGTGGGGTGGAAGCCGTCCCAGAAGACGTAGCCCGTGGCGTTGGTGCACGTCCCCGGCGCCCCCTGGTGGCACAGCACCGACGTCTCGATCGTGCCCGTGCCGCAGCACGCCCGCCGGGACTCGAAGAACCCTGCAGGAACCATCGACGTCTAGTGTTATTCACCCGCTCACCCTTGCCATGCCATAAAATAAAATAAAAGAGTAGGGATGAGAGCAGAGCATCGGCCGTGCTCTCGGTCGTACGTACCGGCGTTGGTGGGGTTTTGGACGAGGTCGAGGAGCGGCTGGTAGATGTCGAAGACGACGAGCTTGAGGTCCGAGTGCCGACGCTTCACGGCGTCCGCGGCCACGCCGAGCTTCCGGTTGAAGGTGAGGGAGTCGTTGTTGAGGCGCTCCACGCAGCCTGCGTTCCCGCCGCCGAACAGCGTCACGGACGCCGGGAGGCACCCCATCGGCGGCAGCGACGTCACGCCGATCCGGCGGGCGCCCAGACTGTACAGGCCCTGCATATACATGTTGGCACATATATGACGCAGTGGTACGGTACGGTGATTAGCCAGTAGCATGCACTACTAACGGGGGAGCTGATTCCTTACAGTATGCGCGCTACTACTAACTGTACTGAAAAAAGTATTCAATTAATTAGAAGCAGATGACAGAGCATTATAGTACTACGTAGTTACTTTCAGTCTTTCAGATATGCATGCATGCGGTTTATTACCCTGACTGGCTTTCAGGAAGAAGATTTGGCATGTCCTTTGACTGCTCACTGGATCGCACTTACTGGGTTTGGTACAACATTTAAGATTCAGCGCCACGGCCACACAGGCCGTGTTGGTATTCTTCCTGTAGAGGGAGGGCACATGCATGTACTGTACAGCGTCCTCCTCCTCCAAGGATGCATGTGATGAACTGACGATACACTTATTATATGCAATACTGGTGAGTATGAGTATATAGTACTAGTGCTACCCGTCTTGAGTAGTTATGCATGAATAGTGACACCGAGCGAGTACAACGACAAGGCCGGCAACACCAGTACTCAAGGATTTACGTAGTACTAGTACGTGCCAGCTGTCTCTAACGTTCTTCTCCAGAAGAATGACCGTGCGTTTCTTTTTACTCACTCTTGGACACCGTTGCAGAGAGGCAGCATGGAAGTGGAGGTGCGTTCATGCCGGCAGTGGCGTGACCGTGCGAGTGGTTGGGAGAAAACAGCTGAACCGGCCGGCCGGCGCCAGCTGATATGATGTTGCAAAGAAGCATGCAACTTTGCACAACGGCCAGGCCAGCAACCCGTCTCGACCTGCTTCCAGTTGTAATAAAGTCGAAACGTAGAGTTGGTCGTCTGATCGATCGATCACATAGCATGCACCATGCACTGATGCACAGCAACGAAACGATATCTTATCTCGAACCAGACCGCACCAATCTCCAGGCATAGCAACTACTAGAGAGGACATGTGACGGCAGTAATGACCAGCAGCAGTGGTCTGCTCTCGATCGAGGTCATTGATATCACAACAAGAACCACTGCTACTGTTACGTACGTAACACAGTGACTGGCAGGCAACCATGTTCATTCGATCCAGCACAGCAGACGAGAGTTTTACTGAGGCCCATTGCACTGCATTCATTCCTACACGGCCCTACACGCTGCAACCTGTGACTTCATATCGTATCCACCACTACGCCCCTGCGACGTCATTCAATTGCGTATTCGCAATTGCATGCCCATGCCCCACTCGATGAGTCGATGTCAAGTCTCAAGGTTTGAACTTTCTCGACATGCATCTTGTTGCATTGCATATTTGCATTGCATGGTAGCTAGGGAGTAGGGGGTATTACCGTACTTGCAACATATACCATCAATGAACTATCCCAACTAATCAAGTTGCAGTGGATCGAGAAAAAGGTTGTTAAGATCGGCTCGTAGTGAATTTTCGAGAAAAATAAATATATAACCGCAGTCGAATTTGGGACGAGTGGTATGTAAGCAGCAAGCAGCATGCGGTTTGTGTTTACCGTACCTCGACGAAGGAGGTGAAGGGCGGCACGAGCGCGTCGGCGAACTGGTCGGGCGTGTAGGCGGCGCTCAGCATCGGGTTCACGTAGTAGTTCTGCACGTAGTCGCTGGTGCCGGCGCTCACCACGTAGATGGACCCGGACGTCAGCTCCCGGGCGCGCCGCTCGCCGGCCGACGCGGCCACCCGCGACTGGTACTCCCGGAAGTACTCCGCCTGACGGCTCAGCGAGATGGCGCCCTGCAATATAATGCAAGCATCAACATCGATCAATATATGGTTCGAGAAGCGGTGGTAGTGCGCCCTGCAATGTAATGCACGCAGCACGTACGTAGAGGGCGGCGGTGGCGTCGAGGTAGCCGGCGGCGCCGGATGCGAAGTTGGCGCCGTGGAGGAGGCTCTTGTTGTTGCTCTGCGCCTCCTCGCTCAGGTACGCCGGCGGGTACGAGCTCAGCCCAAGGCTCTCCACTGCATGCATCATCGCATCAATGGGTTATTGTCCATCCATATCAAAACCACCCACGACTGAACACCCGTGCAAGAAGCTGCTGGATGGTTAACTAGTAAACTACCCTACCGGTGTAGTCCGTGGCGAGCTTGCCGTTGCAGAAGCGGCCCGTGGGCGCGTGCGTGGCCGGGAAGTCGCGGCCGTAGGGCGGGAAGTCGGCGCGCACCAGCGTGGCCAACCGGTTGTTGTTGCCGGCGTCCACCACCGAGTCGCCGAAGATCATCACGCCCGGCACCAGCGCCTGCCCCGTCACAGTCGTCGTCGACACCGCCGAGAGCAGCACCACCATCACCGCCGCCGCCGCCGTTGGCACGGATGAGCTCATCTTCATCGTCGTCCTCGCGCGCTCTCGGATCAGCCGCCTCCCGTCGTACACGCCGAGGAGTTGGCCGTGGACTGTGGTGGTGTGGACTAGCTATGGACGTGTCAGTGTGTTGGTAGGACTCACCACGACACCACCGCGTGGTTTTAACGGGGTGAAGTGAAGTACTGCTGCTAGCTTATTAACTGCTTGTTGAAGGTGGTGGGAAGAGGTGGGGGCACGCATTCAATGATTTAGGTGGAGTGAGTAGTAGGTGAGCGGCTCGCTCGATCGAACGGCTTGGTTTTTGTCATGTTCGCTGGTTCTTATTCAGCGCTATTTTCCAGCACTGTTTTTTATATAATATTTTAATATAAGTATCAGTATAAATTAAATTTTAGTATAATGTCTTTTTAGTTAAGCTCATGTTTGGCTGTTTCTAATATTCAACGAAATTTCTATCTTGTTGTAAAAAGAACGAAAATTCTATCTGTCTGTCGTTTTCGTTCAGCCCATTTCTGAAGTTGCACGCATGAGACCCGGTGGTGTTCCCATATGTCTGAATTATTCGAAATCTCTATCTATCTATCGAGCTTTTTTTTTTTATACGGATATAGCGCGACCGGTCGCGCAAAACAACAGCGCGCGACCCCTCACGCGAGACTCACTTCCACATGCCCGCGCCCCGACAAGCCTGCATGCGTCCGTGCTCCGACAAGCCTGTTGCTTGCCTGTGGGTTCAAGGAGGCACCGAAACGAAGAAACCAAAACATTATGCCCCGTTGGGCTTAGCTTACCAGCGACCGCCTTGTCTGGCTTGTTTTTTTAGTTGGAATAGTATTTTTTTTCATAATAATTTAGCTAGAACAGTGTTTTTCAGCTAAGTTTCAGCAAGTCAAATGGGCATTTATTTAAATTGCTATACCTTTTGAACGAGGTATCCGTTTTCAATTCTATTTACACTGGAATGTTCTATACGATGAGTTAAACAAAACTAGACCCTACTTACCTATGTTTCGAAGAATTTTATATTAGTAGTAATTTATGTGTAAAAATATATTAGCAGATTTACGATAGAAGTTGCTACCATGAAATACTAAATTTGCTACTCCAAAAATATAAAAGTTTTTACATGGTATGCTCATCGATTATTACCATGGAAGTATAATAAATTTGTTATATAGTATTTACATAAACGTACTAGCTCAAAAAGAGCAACGGATCAAAACAAAATAATCTGCAACCTGGTTGGCAAATTATTAAAATAAACATTGCATAAACTGCTAACTAGGAGTCATGTTATTATACAACACATTACAAAAAAGTAGAAAACATGACTTACTGCCAACTGGTGGCATTTACTAAAAATGAGGATAGCGATATAAAACAAGACAAGCTGCATCTTAGGGGTATTAAAACAAGCACTGCATAAGTTGCCAACTAGATGGACAAGTTATTATAAAACCCATTATATGAGCCGTGAAACATGACTAGCTGACAACTAGAGGAACATTAAAAAGACAAGAGTAACAATCCAAAATAAGACAAGCTACATCACAAATTAAATTATTAGAAGAAGCATTACATAATATGCCAACCTAGAGGTAAATTATTATACAACTAATATGTAGGATTTAGGATGCATTCAAATCTAAAATGTTGTGCAGCATTCCATTTCTCCCATAAAGTTGACATCTACAAAGAACATTGATTAATACTTAAATTAGACTCCACTTGTCTCTGTTTCAAAGAATTTTATTTCAGTAGTAATTTATGTGTAAAAATGTGCTAGAGATTTATGAAAGGAGTTGCTACCATACAATAATAAACTTGCTACTTCAAAAATATACTAAACATTTTACATGGTATGAACAAGCTCAAGGTCAAAAAAAAATCAAAATAAGTTACTACCATACAATACTAAACTTGCTACTCTAAAATATACTAATTTTTTTACATGGTATGAACAAAGCTCAGGGGCAAAAAAATAAAAGAAGTTAGTACCGTGTAAAACTAAAATTGCTACTACAAAAATATACTAAAATTATTACATAGTATGCACAAGCTGGGAGACAAAAAAATATCAAAAGGAGTTACTAGCATGTAATACTATAGTTTTACAACTTGGGGGCAACTATTGCAACAAACATAAAAATAGAAGCTATTGCACAAAAGTTGCGGGGCAAATTCTTTTGTGGCAACTTATGTGTGCAATGGCTACTCTTTTGTGACAACTTATATATTGTAGGTGGGACAACTAATATGCATGATTTAGGAAGGCATTCGAACCTAAAAGGAAACATTAAAAAAAACTTGAATGAAAACTGAAACTAAAAAACACTGAAAATAATATTGAAAACCTGAAAAAACTGAAAATACAGCCATCAAAATAAACAGCCATGAACTTGGAATGATCCGAATTGCCTGCAGCATTCCATTTCGCCCTTGAAGTTGACATCTACAAAGAACATTGCTTAATACTTAAAAAACTGAATTGGAGCCAGTTATATTTTGAGCAAGTGGCAATATATCCTGAAATGACAAATTCTGAAACTGAAACTGAACTGGAAAGGAAACTGAACTGAACTAAGACTGAAACTGAACTGGGAGGTACTCATTATGCATTGCATCCTCTAATTGGAAGGCACAACCACAGCATCAACTCTGTCGTGGGGGATGAGACGCAACTTCGAACCATGTTTCAGAAACACGTTGCCTAAGGAGGAAAAACATTACTTCATGTCAGAAACTAGTACCTTGTCCAAAAGACAAGCTAAAACAAGAGAAATCAAGTCAACAAAACACATTTGATGCAGTAACTCAAAATAGAGAGCATTCAGCCTAATAACAGAGGGATTCATCCAAGAAACAATATAGTATAGCAGTTCATTTGTGCAAAGCCTAGGCCATGCCACGTCGTTTGCTAAGTGATGAGAATTTTCAAATGCATGTTCAAGTGCTTATACATTACATATGGATGGCACCAGATCAAACTTAGGAGCCTATCTGCCCCCTTCCTAAACACAACTCAGGTAACTTCAGCTGCCAACTTCTGTGTCCGCACCACTTAAATTGTGCATTGTATGGCAAACAAAAAAAAGGATCCAAAACAGGCCTATATAACTAAACATTTCAACCTATGTTCTATCAATCATAACATCATAAACCGGTCTACTGATGCAAATCCTTCTATACAACATATTTGTGCCGGAAAAGTATTGCATTGGTGACTTTCTGGAAGATACAAGGACAGCACACCAGGAAAAAAACACAGATCCGAAACAAAAATATATGCTGGTATCATGAAATGGTACCTGCACTTTGCTGGGGTTGATGCCAACTCCATCTGCAGAGAGGGAAAAATGCAAAATCGTTTCAGAAAAGTATATGACAAACAAGAACTGTTACTGATCGTCAGATGTTGTATGTAAAGAAATAGGAAAACTTAAAGAACATCACATGTCACAAGCTCGATGGTTATAACCAACAATAGTTGCATGAAGAAGTGCTATTTTACAATGCCACTGGTCACCATTTGGCAACAACAAAGACAGAAACTTGAAAGCTATCCACACCATTCTTATATATATAGATAAATAGCAGTGGAAAGAGTAGCACATTCTTTTGTGGTTGAACCTATGATTTCTTAATTTTTAATTTTACCGAATGATGTTCTCATTTACCTGAATTAAGAACTAAAACAAAACTAAGAGAACTGAGATTGAAACAAAACTGAACTAAGACTGAAACAAAAATGAGAGAACTGAGACTGAAACAAAATTGAGATGAACTCTGAACTGGAACTGAAACTGAACCTGAACCTAGAACCTGAATATGAAAATTCAGACTGAAATGATTTGGGAAGAATGAAGTATGATGACTATAATTGAACACTGAAATTGGAAAGATAACATAGAGGAGAATGAAATAGCTAATACTTAAATTATAAACTGAACTAAAACTGAATCTGAACTGAACTGAAACCTGAACAAGACTGAAAAACTGAAAATACAGCACTCAAAATAAAAACTGAAATTGAGAACTGGAATAAAAACGGAAATTAAAGACTGAAATTACATACTGAACAACATGGAAACAGTGTTCAATCTTATGTCTATCAATTTCTAAAATCTTCTGACATACATCTCAGTACATACAGCTTTATTGGACCGACACAAGCAGGAAATCAGAAAAAACTAGGTTTCAAGGTGATCTGACAAGCGGATCACTCGGCATCGGCATCACAGCCGCCGGAGACGGCGGCGGCGGAGGCGAGCTCGTGCTGCTGAAGGCGCTCGAGCGCCATCTCGTGCACCCAGGTCTAGATTGTGAGGTCGACCTTGGCGTTGAGGCCGACACTGAGGATGACGACGGTGAGAAAGGACGTGAAGTAGCCGCGTCGTCCACCGCCCGGCGCCTTCGCCGCCGCCGCGCACGCGGGATGTGGAGTGAAAGTGCAATCAAGCTCTAATGGTGGGTTTTTTTGACAATGACCACGCAATTAGAGAACTAATGAGATTTATCGAGATGACAAGCGGATAATTTATATTCGAGAATGCTACACGAAACGGAAGAGCCCCCGATTACAAACGTAAATGGCTTCAAACTCAAAGGAGGTTTAAATTCTTTTATATTTTGAATTTGAGTATAGGAAAAGCTGTACTATAAAGGGGGACACAATGCTTAAGCTAATATATGCTACCAAGTGCTCAAACAACCACATGCATCCTCAGATTCACAGCTAAGACAGTCTACACTTTACTAATACCTTTCCTGTCTTGCGTGGTGCGGCACTGCCACACTTGAAGAGAGGTACTAGCGCATTTGGGTTGCGGGCTCCGTCTCGTCGGACCCCTTGGGTGCGGGCTCCGTATCGCCCAACCCCAAGGTCGCAGGCTCCGTCTCGCTCGACCCCAAGGACGCGGGCTCTGTCTTGCCCGACCCCAAGGACACAGGCTCTCAGCCTGTTCGCTTGCTCGTAAACGATCGTAAATTTCCAGCCAGGAATAGTGTTTTTCTCTCACACCAAACCAGCCAGCAGTAAATAATCCACGATACGATACGGCCTCCCGAACAGGCTGACCTCGAGGTCGCGGGGTTCGTCTCGCCCGAACCCTTGGGTGCGGTGACCGTTGAGGGCTGAGGGATATATATGCCTTTTCCCTTCCTCCCCAACGGTAATCTGCCACTTCTTTCTCACTTCAGCACGCCCAAAACATAGCAGGAGCGCTCTCTCTCGCTCAATTGTTGATCTCAAGCCCCCAAGCAAATCCATTGATTTCTCCATCAATACTTGAGGGAAAATGGTCCTAAACTCGATTAGAGAGCAGCTCCATTGATTCCCCAACTCTAAAGAGTACTTGGTTCATGTTTTGGTCGGCGGTTGTGTTTGTTACTCTTGTAACTTGGCTCCTAGCCGGCTAGAGCGTCGCCCGTGGAGCTTGCCAACTTGTGTGGCAGCCCTGGAAGGTTTGTAACATCTCTTGAAGTTAGTAAACTCACCCATCGTCACAAGAGTTAAGTCTCTTGACTTGAGAACGAGGAATGGTTGAAAATCTCTAAGCCTTAGTGGCTAACCTCAACAACGTGGAGGTAGGCAAGCCTGGGTGGCAAGCCGAACCACGGGATAAATCTTTATGTCACTTATGCTTGATTCTTATTACTTGCATGACATATTGTGGTTGAGGTGATTTCTAGAGTTTCTAGTTGATCTACTTGTGTGTGGTGTTCCTACCACTTTTAGCACTTAATCTGTGATTGTCATACCTGCAGTAAGATAGGAAATTTCACCGATCTAAGTTTTCATTCACGGATTTTGAACTGTGATTCAAAGTTGTTTGTAGGTGCGGCAATGTAGCTGTTCTTGCCCGGCAGTGTTGCAGTCCGACAGTGTCGCCTCCAGAGCGACAGTGCAGCTGGATGAATTTGATAAAAGTTTAAGTATTTGTTTTGACAGAGCCTACTCACCTCCTCTAGGCCAACCAGAGATCCTACGTGGAGCGTAGCCGCGCGCGCAGCATGCCTCCCGCCGCCGCCGCCGCTGTTGAGATCTCCCGCATCGATGCCGCCGGTGAGGTGCGTCGCCTGCGAGGTTGGGGAATGGAGAAGCTGTGGGAGCAGAAATGCGGTGCTGTCGCCGAGCGCGTGGGCTACGTGGGAGCGGACGCGGGGTCGTGTGGGCTGTGCGCATGCTCCGGCCCGCGTCGCATGCAACGCACGGGGCGCGACCGGCCGCTCGTTAGAGTTTGCTTTTTTTTAATTTGTCATCAGTTGAATGTCTCGTCTGTCTTTATGGGCTGCTTGTTGATATGGGCTTTATTTTCTTTCAGCCCATCAAAAAAAATAATGCAAATGTCCAAATGAGTCATGTTACTCCAGCTTTGCATCAATTTCATGGGTTTTCAATGGGGAGCCCACCTAACCATGCTCAGTTCAGGCCCATTAGTTTCCTCATCCGTAGCTTTAAGATTTTTATTATTTCTATAAATTGCTACCGACCATATTAGGAGATTTCTTGTTGAGATTCTCCAGCATTCACCATTCGAAGGACCATTAGTTCCCTCATCCGTAGCTTTAAGATTCTAAATGGGTCATGGTATAATCTTGGAATGAAACAGTCCACCCCATTCACCGTTGGAAGGAACCTTGGGTTATCCTCAGATTAGACTAGGAAAAGGTCTGTTATAGGACCAAATGGGATTTTTTTGTTTGAGATTCTCCAGTTCAGGAAGTTTGTTCAAGGTGGATCGGTTGGGTTGGGCATACACTAGTACAATACAAGGGGCCTCGATGGGTGTGACACAGTAACTAGCCGGCATAGATAGTACTACATCCGTTCCATTTTATCTAGCACACACGTATATCAAGATTCGAACTTTAAAAACTTTAACCAATAATTAGGCTACTAATTTATAACTATTATAATATAACTTTATATGATTAGATTTGTAAGGAATTATACTATCCAATGATTATAAGTTTATAAGCATAAATAATATAATATAAAATAAATGACTGGTCAAAGTGTAATCTAAGAGACCGTGTCATTCTAACTTGCGTCAGATAAAATGGAACAGAGGGAGTAATATCCTTTTAAAAATGGTGAACGGGCTCAGGCATGGTGAACCTGCTCGTTAACTTGGTAGGTGATGCCCAACCTGTATGCTAGCGAAATATGGAGTATTGAGCAAGGGCAGGTCAAAGCCTCAAAGATCTCTCTTTCACTAGTTTTAGTCATGAATAGGTCCTCCTCTACACACATTACTAGAAAAATAATTTTAGAAGACATGATCTTTGATTAATGGAGACGGCCACCTTTGTAAATGATCAGGGGGCTCTAGGACACAGTGCTCTTATCCTTGGTTTACAAACCAAAATTGTTCACTGGTATGCAATCTATTATCAGTGAATCCGAGTGACCATAACATGTCTCTACACTTGCTAGTCATATTAAATTTAAAAATGATTTTTTCTTGATAATGTATTTATTTGTGACTATTTATATAAATTTGTTCAAATTTAGAGAGTTTCACCTATGGCAAAACTAAAATAATCTACATTTAGAAACAGAGGGAGCGCGCTATTGACTCTAATTTGTGTTCAAAAGCATAATAAGGCTCCATATATCCAGCAGGTCTAATAACCGTAGAAATACATTTTTATACACAGTTTAAACCAACAGTTTCAAAAGTTTATACTGTACCTAACCTGTGGGATATACCTACATGTGTTTTTATACACTAAAGTACATAGAAGCTGTTAAAAAAGCACACGTACTTACGTGACACTACTTTTATTAAAAAAGTTAGAGAAGATAGCTACCGCCAACAATTTAGCGAAACGCAACTGGACACACTGATCTCATTTGCAAACTATGCGGGGTGGACCTAGAAACACCGACTTCACCTGTGCAAAGACTGCACATTCTCGAAGCAAGTATGGTCCTATCTAAAACAATGGCTCGATTTGGTAGTACTTTATTCAGTGGGAATGAATGGATTGTTGCATAGCTACTGGCGTAAATGTCGCACAAAATTTGAAAGAATACAAAGAAAAAGGATAGATGGAATTATGATCTACTTCTGGTGGAACATTAGGAAGGAACAGAATAGAAGAACATTCCAACAAAAATCTTTACAACCAAGATAAGTCAGCCTCCTCTGCAAAGATGATATTCAACAGTTCCAGTCGGCAACAAGACCCATCGTTAGTGGGGAGTAGATTTTCTTCTAGGTTGTTTTCGGTTCTTAGGGAGCTGGCGCTCTCTTTTGTTTTCTTGCTTAAATTGTTCTGGGGTAAGTTTGCTGGCATGTGCGCATTAGTAGCTTGCTGTTCTTCTCTAGTTTTGGTAGTTGGGAGCTTCCTTTTTCCACGTAAAACTCTGTAATTGACGTGTTTTTTTTGCCTTTTAGCCGTCTAATAAAAAATTGGCAAAACTTTTACCGCCTTTCTAAAAAAAAAACTATTAGCTGGGTATGCGTTCAAAAAAAAAAAGAAAACATAAAAAAACTAGAAAGCAGCTGCTTAAACAACTTTTTGTTACAGTTACTTACTCATTCTTCGGATAAATTAGTCTTCCAGTCCAGCGATTCTGGCAAAACGCTGCGAAACAAGCTGGTTAAATCGCTTATCCGGTGCTATGCACAGAAGCAGCATCAGGAGGTAATTGCTCGCTCATGTTTCTTTGAATGCTTGGGAGTTGGGACTCTGCAATTCCTTCCACGTATATGCTTACCTGTCCTGAGTATGTGTTGAATTCTGTACAACAGGCTATGCTGAAGAGCTTCGTTCTGCAAGGCATCGCACAGGATTCCAAGAGCAGTGGCAATGAGCTTGATCGGCGATTCGAAATCTTGAAGGATGCCTGTGAGATGAACTCCTTCCTCTTAGGCGTGGTTACCTGTACACGTGTCAACAATCTACTATAGGGGTGCACAGGTGTGGTTTGGACCCAGGGTTCACCCAATTTAATGCGGTTAGGAAAACTATACGGCAAAGCGACCCAAAATATGCCACTATGAGCAAGCTCACGATTGACTAATGACTAGTGACTACTTTCAATTTTGATGAGGGGGAGGCCGAGCAGGCAGCAACCCTGAGTCTAACCCGGCTATGTTAGGCTTCCTTGACTCCCCTTCCACCTCTCATACTCGGTGGCGTTCAGCCATCTTCACTATCGTGGTTTAACATCTTGAAAGATGCTCGTTAGTCGTAAGATGGTACTATTCCCTCAGGTCAAGTCAGAACGAAGGCATCACTGTATAGTCCATAAAAGCCAGAAGATGGGGATGTCATGAACTTGATAGGTGATCATTCAGTTCTACTTGCTGCTTTGGAGATAGGTTTCAGTTTCCAAGACGTCTACCGGACACGGAGAGCACAATTGGCAGCAGAGCACAAACTGCAATTGTGGCTGATCCACTAGCCATGCAATCGATCGACGATCGTCGACCGATGGCTTTGACGCTTACCTTACCTGTATAGCATTATTATTAGTGGACTCGCACTTTCCAAGCAGAAAAGAAAAGGCCATCGCATGCTCATATACTACGGGCTGGCTCGTTGCCGAAATAGCCAAATAGGGAGTTGATACTGCGCGCACCACGCGCCATGAAGCATCGCTCGTCAGCAATGAATAAATTGCTGCTGCTGCTGCTGCTTGTCGCCTCCGCCGCCGGCTGCAGCTTCTTCCTCGTCGCCCGTGCAAGTGCACCGAACCACCGACCCAACCAGGCAAACAGCGTCGCTGCCGCGAGCTGCATACCGAGAGATAGGGACGCGCTGCTGGCGTTCAAGCGAGCCATCACAGGCGATCCCGCAGGCCGGCTGGCGTCGTGGCGGGAACAAGACCATGACTGCTGCCGCTGGGGAGGTGTCCGGTGCAGCAACGTCACCGGCCATGTGGTCAGGCTCTATCTCGGAGCCCCGGCTGCTGCCCCCTGCGATTGGGGCGATTCTGACGATGATGGCGTCCTTGGTAATGGCTCCGACGACTTGCATGTGAACATAGATAAGGGGACTTGCTGATATACTTTACCAAAAATGTAGTTGCGGTCGTGGCGCCGCTAACAAGGTGGTCGCGGTGTGTTGGTGATAAGGTTGGCGACGGGTAGCGTTCCAATGGCGTCCCGACGGCGGTGTGGACGTCTGGCGCCTGTGCAGAGGTGGTGATGAAGGTAACGGTGCTTCTTGTCGCTCAGAGCGTATCCTTTTAGATCGGACTAGGGCTAGGAACCTCGGTGGGGCACTGACGGCTGCGGTGAACCTCGTGGCTTGCGCCCTAGCCCTCATCTTTCTCTTTATAGCGCTGCGCGACAGGGCCATCAGCTAGGAAAACGGCTGGGCGCCCCCGATCAGGGCGCAGATCAAGGGCCTAATTGGCCGTTGGGCCAACTGGTAGAGATCAATTCTAACATTCTCCCCCTTTATCTCATTTTATAACTTAAACTTAACTTACTTTATCTTTTTCTCATTCTATTGCAGATCAGTGCATAGAGTGTGCCTCATCGTCACGGTCAGTTGCCATTAGATTAAACAGCTACAATGCACCTCTCTGTTTTGAAACAGATTCTCAACTAGGCCTCTAGTATCTAGAAATCATAGGCTTTCCCGTAAACCCATGTCGATTGTGTGTTTTCTGAACGCACTGGGTGGTTAGCCTTTGGTAAGCGAATCCGTAAGTACTTGCTTGGTACTTATATGCTCAATGCTTTCAAAATGATTCTGAATTTTCTCCTTTACAACATATAACTTAATGTCATTGTGTTTGGCAGCACACTTGATCTGTTCTCTTAAGAGTTAACTACTTTAAATGGTTATTACTATTGACTACTATTATTAAATCCAGGTACATATTCCTTTAACCACTTTTGCCTGTTCTTGAGGCCTCATGACAAGCTATACTATGATATGCATCATTGATGATACCATAACTGTTTCATTGGAGTTTTTCCACAATAATACTCCAACTGCGAGTGTTAACAACTACTGTGGATTTCACTACACATCTCGCCAAAAATTAACACTTGTACCCATAACTATTTGAGAGTACTTGTTCTTTCTTACTCAGCATGAGGCCTACGATACTTTGCAAAATTATAAGACATTCTTAACTCCATTCCAGTGATCTATATCTGAACCGGACTTCTACCAAAATATCCCGGATATGAAAACTACGTCAGGGTAAGTTCTTACTTGTACTCGTACACTCATCAAGCTTTCAACAGTTGAAGCATATGAAACCATATTCATTTGATCGATCTCATATCGGTTCCTAGAACACTAAAAGTTTCTAAAACTATTACCCTTGACTATAGGAGCAGGCGTAGGTTTACTCGAATGCATACTTTATTTCTTTAGATTCTTTTCTAAGTATGTCTTTGTGATAGTCCTAATACCCCATTTTCTTCTATCTCAGTAAATTTCAATTCATAAAACCAATAACGTTTCACCAAGATCATTCACATTGAAACTTGAGGACAAAGACTTCTTCTTCTCCAATGGCAGATTAACATTACTACTCGTGAGTAGGATATCATCTATACACAGGATGTGGAAAAAGAATTTTCTATTCTTGAACTTCGCATAAACGCTATTGTCCTTCTCATTTTCTTTAAACCCAAACTTTCTTATCGTTTCATCAACTTCAAATACTACTGTCTACAGACTTATTTTAACCCATAAATGGATTTCTACAGGCGACATCCCATACGTTCTTTTTCTTTCACGACAAAACCTTTGGGTTGTGCCATGTAAACGTTTTCATACAAATCCCCATTGAGAAATGTCGTCTTTACATCCATCTGATGCAACTCTAAATCGTAATGTGCCAATAACACCATTATGATTCTAAAAGAATCCTTATATGAGACTGGAGAGAAAACTCTCATCGTAATCTATTCATTCTCTTTGCGTAAATCCTTTTGCTACAAGTCATGCTTTATATCGTTCCACATTTCCTTTGGAGTCACATTTTGTCTTGTAGACCCTTTCACAACCTACTGTTTTGGCTCTATTAGCAATTTCTTCTAAGTCGCCAAAATCGTTGGTATTCATCGAATTCATTTCAACTTCCATAGCTTCTTGTCATTCAAACGAGTAAACGCTTCTCATGGCTTCTTTAAATATGGTGGGATCACCCTCTATTTAAATTTCTTCACAAACATAGACTTCATAGTCATCAGAAAACTGGTTTACTAATTCTTTGAGACCTTCTAGGACCTGGGGCTGTTGTTGCTATTCATTGCCAAGAGATAATTGATTCTACAGGCTCCTGTATCATAAGATCATTGTTTATATTATTCATCTTGTTCGAAGAGTCAACAACAGGTGTTGTATAAGTCATACAATAATAATAGGTATTGAAAAAAATTCGTTGTTTTGAATCACCGAAGTGGGCACGCAGTCCCGCTTCTCTTCAAGTCATAGGTCTCTACATACCGTGCTCCCCCAAATCTTTTTATCTTTTATAAAGATAGTGTATCTTTTAATTTCTTATTTGAGTTCAATCTGTTAAAACCTTATATGGCGCTTTAAGCACCGCTTTAATATCTTTGATGATGACTATGTTATCTTCCTCTCAGAACTTAAAAAAAATCTTAAAATTAAGCTGTTTCTCTGCTTAGGGGTATCATTGTTATGACCGACGATCACATTCATCAACATCTTTATCCCACTCTTTATGAAGAGTAGTTTCTCAATTGATCTTAATTCTTACTTTTAATTCATCTCACAATTCTCCTCTCGAAATATGGCATGAACTATATTGCCATAATTTCGAGAACTATTCAGAAAACTGTGAACGAGGAGACACTTATGACTTACTTCATTTACATGATTATGCCATGGAAATAAAATTATTTCTTGATCCGTACAGGAGTACACTTTCCTCATTCCACTTCAAGAATTTGACGAGGTTTTTTATTAACTATACTTTTGCAAGTCACGCTTGCATCTTTTTCTAGTCCTTTGATTAGTATTGACCATGACGGTACATTTCTATTATGCCATGGTCAATACTAGGATAGCATAAGAGCTACCTAAATTTCTCTCGCTATGCAGGATACAAAAATATATGAGTCATCACAAAACCTCTCCCGTCATGTAGGATTGACTAGCATAAGTTCTATGTCAAACTTCTCCCCATGCGGGATAAATCTATATATAAATTACCATAACGAAAAATTTAGTCATAATGACTAAAACACTCAATTATACTTTATTTTCAAATAAAATCTTTCAGTTAGTTCTAATTTAATCAGAAAATTAGTAAACTAAAAAAACTATCCTGAACTGACTTGACTCAAGCTTTTTCATTCACATACCCCAGCATTGCAGCCCGTTGGCATGCAGCCGAGTGATCTCGTCGATTAAAAAATAAAACTTACAAGATGCTTCTGCATCAATTCTACGTCACCGTTGGACAGAAAATAGAATTAATGCATAAAACTCATAAATTAACTTGAAAGCCATATAACTACTCTTCAAAATTAAATTCTTTCATTGGTTCGAATTTAATTAGAAGATAATCAACATAATTGCAGTGAAACACGATAATAAAATACATTCTATTAGTTCAGGAGCATTTCTGGGTCTTTATCTACTCTCTAAAAAATTGACCATTGGCGTAAAAATTATTAGAGATTTAAACTTCAACCTTAAACTCATTATAATATTGTTATCATCAACGTTGGTCAGAAAATAACAATACCATAATTTAACATAAACAAATCGGACTACTCCTCTAATTTAATTTTTTTCGTTTATTCCAATTTAATTAGAGGATAAACATAATCATAATTTACTAAATGTAACTACTCTTCGAATTAAATTCTCCCGTTGGTTCAAATTTAATTTGAAGATAATCAACATTAAACTTTGCAGCGGAAACATAAGAAAATTCTTTATCTACTTTCCAGAAGCATTTTACTGTACTTATTTACTCTCTGAAAAAATTATCCTGTTGGTTCAAATTTTGACAGAGATTTAAATTTTAAAAAAACCATCAAAATTTGCTTATGAAAATAATAAAACCAAAACTCAGTCTTTACTTTTCATTCGGCCCGGCTTGATGAAACAGTCCGCGGCCCATTCAGCCACGTGCGCCGCGCCGTCCCGCGCCCAGGCCACAACCTGGGCCTGGGCCAGGATTCTCCACACCCGCCCGGGCCGAGTTCTACCGACCGTTGGATGGAGATCGACGGTCATCCGCTGGTTTCGCTCGGAATAAAAACAGCGTCCGCGGCCGCGCTCCCGAAACCCTAACCTCATTTCAACTTCCATAGCCTTCTCTCTCTTCGCCATAGCCGTTGGCTTGCTCTCCCCCTTCTCACCCGAAACACGGTGGCCAGAGAGAAGAGTGATGGCGCCGCCGTGGCGCCCTTCGCTGGTGCACACGTGGGGCCAGAGCCGCGCGCGGCATCGTCGAGCGGCACCACGGTGGTGCTCTTTGCGCCCCCACACGCGCTCTTCCCTAAACCCTAGATCCCTTTCTCCTTTGTCAGCCCTCAAAGCAGCAGACGTAGGAGAAGAAGGGCAGCGTCGCCGTGGGTCCCCTCACCGGAGCGCGCACTCCCCAGTAGGTGAGCGCGCCGCCGTCAAGCGGTCTTGTGACGGTGCCCTCGGTCGGGGCTCGCGCGCACGACGATGAGCGCGGCTCGGCTGCTTCTTCCCGCGCGCAGCGGTAGCGATGGCGGCGAGGAACCGGGTAGGTCCTCCCCTTTCTCCGTCCATCCATCTAGGGTTAGGGTTAGGGTTAGGGTTAAGGTTAGGGTTGGGGTTGGGGTTCAATCCGATTCATCTCCTTCTTGATTTCTTTTCACTTTTATACCCCAATCTAGATCTACATACTAGAAACACGGCTTTGATACCATCGATTGACTTGTAAGACCTCTAGGTGCAGATCTAGCGGGTAAAACTCAACTTAGATAAGGGGACTTGCTGGGATACCTCACCAAAAAGGCAGACGCGGCCGTGGCGCCGCCAACAAGGTGGCCGCGACGGGTCGGTGATAAGGTCGGCGACGGGGT